ATGCTCTTCCAGTAATGTTAGAACGCTCTTTCAAAGTTTTCTAATGTTCCCAAAACGTTTAAAATTTTTGACCTGAAATGTTTTAGCTGGATGTTTTTTTTAAATAAATGTTACAATGTTTTAAATGTTACAACTTGTTTCGGAATGTTCAATGAACATTCAAAAAGAAACATTCCAATAATGTTTGCAACATGATAAAATGGAATGTTCCCTTAACGTTCGAATATATAAGAAAAAAAAATATGTTTGGAATGTATATTTGAGCCTCAAATATGTTTGAGAAATATCATTAAATCCTCCTGACATTAAAAATTCAGAAAATGTAAATCAAAAGTATGGCTTTCTGTTTGTCTTTTAGCATTAAACCTCCCATATGCTCAAGTACACCTAAAAGTTGACAAAAGAAAAAGTTAAAAAGTTTCCCTTTATGAATATTTATTTGTCGACTAAAATGCTCAATATGTCAATGCAGGAAAGAAAACGGTTACATCCACACACCAGAGGTTGGCGACAAGTGATGTCATTTAACCTTCATTCAAATGACTTGATTAATTCAGGAACGAAACATTTCAAATTCCTGTTTTTAATAAAGGAGTCACTGAATCATTCACTCAACCAATTCGTTTCAAATCACAGATTAGTTCAAGAAGAAAAAGCGCAGTTGTTTTCATTTTTTCATTTTAAACTATTTTGTAGTGGAGCAAAACTGCCTAAAGTGTGTGTTCCTTAATTTTAAATTGTTTATTGAACAACTTAACCATAGTATTATTGAAGTGCTGTATAATATCACACTCACGGTTGTGCTGATGGTACTTAGCATTCTTGCTCATTTTATATTGCTTAATTTATTTGTATTATAATATACGTAATAGTTAGGATTTTTGTTTTCACATTATATTATTTCTCATTTTAAAACATTAACATCAAAAACATTATAAATACAAAACTGTTTTGCAATATGGCAAATGGAAAAAAAATATTATGGTATCATCAATTCAGACAAAATCAACAACAAGGATCCCAAATTCCTCCAGTCAAACTCATGTTTTGCATGCAACAGTTGATAATGCAAACACTGCACGCTTATGCAGGGTAAATAAACAAAACTTGATCTCGTCTAGAAGCTGTGCTCGCTTTAAACGCGCTCGTGTGTGTGTGTGTGTGTGTTGTGGAGCTGTAGATCACACAGTGGTTCATACAGAGAAGAGCAGAGAGACTGTGATGCAATATTCATGCTGTTCAGTTCAGTCTTCTCAGAAGCGGGTTTGTGCAGAGATGGAGTTGTTATGGATACGGAAACTCCCTGGTCGTTATGGATACAGTTGCTCATGGGAGGCCCGCGGCCTAAAAAACAAACTCACCCTCCTGCTGTTTTGCTTCCCCGCAATGGCAACGGTGTCTGTAGTGACGGGACAGAAGAAGACCTACATATTGAGAACTACATCAAGGCTGACAGAGAGATCAGTATCTCGTCTGGTCATCTGAAATCTAGGTCTATTTCGTTCACCTCAGCCAGATAACAGGGAACGTTCTCAGAACACTCTGACAAGGTTCTCTAAACGCTATGAACAAACGTTCTTCCAGAAACCTTAATAGAACGTTTGTTCAAAGTGATCGGGTCTATAATAATGTTCTCAAAAGCATTATCTATGCATCGTTCATGGAACGTTTTTTTTTAAATGTTGCTACCCGTTTCGGAATCTTCAGAGAACATTCAAAAGTAACAATTCCATAAAGTTCTAAGAATGTTTCCTATCCTAATGCCTTGTTCAGATTACACGATTTTAGCCCGATTTTGGCACGATCCGTTTGACGTAGGGTGTCGTGGGGATTCGTAAACGACAACGGGCGTCGGGACGCAAGATTCGATCGTGTCATCTCGTATAGTGTGCCATAGTGGTCGACAATCTACGTCGCGTCCTCCAAAGAGAACTTGAGGTAAAAATATTGTATTGTTTTTTTTTTATATATTTTTCCTTTTAGTTTTAACGTTAGCACCATCGTCTTTCTTTCGTTTCGCCATTTTCGAAAGTTGTGTACGGAAAAGCTTCTGTGCTCCTATTGGTCAACCTCATACATTTGACGGAACCGTTAAAAAAATTAAACATGCTAGTCTTTTTGTCGTGATATTGTGAAGCATCGCAGACGCGACGTAGGTTGTTGCCCACTATGACACACTATACGAGATGATACGCTCGAATCTTGCGTCCTGACGCCCGTTGTCGTTTACGAATCCACACGACACCCTACGTCAAACGGATCGTGCCAAAATCAGGCTAAAATCGAGTATTAAAAATAGCGATTTTGATGCTATCATAGAAGTGCCCCATGAACATCCCAATCTTAAAAGTGGCGTTTCCCTTGTGCTTTGACTCAAAAGTTTGACTCGGGTAGATTAACAAAAAGAGCCAGGTTCAATTTTGCCAAGACGTCCACGTCAGAGAAAATTCATAAATAAAAACTTTAATGGGAATGTTAGCAAGACGTTTTTAGGACAGAATTTTTGTTAGCTGAATTTAGACTTTTGCTGAAAGTCTCAGATGTTTCACACACTTCTCTCCTCGAGAGGTTCAGAAAGTCTCGTCATCTTTACTGAATGTCAAAAGTTTCCTCGTGAATGTCAGGAGAAACATCTGATTAAAAAGCGAGAGAAAACTCTGAACTATGAAAGAGCAACATACAAACATTGCTGGCTCTTTGATAAATTGCTTGTGTTCCTCTTTGAATAAATGCAGAGATGTAAATCTGAGCATTGTCCTCTTGTTATAGTCCAGGTGATGCAGCGTGGTTTAAAGAGAAAGAAAAGAAAGCTGTTTGTTTGTTTTTTTAACAATGTTAATATGTTTATCCGACTGTCTCACATGGCATTGAACTATACATATTCTTCAGACGTAGTCTTTACATTTTGACCATGGGTCTTTGCATGCACTACAAAAGGCTGACAAAAGACTCCACAATACATGTTCAAAAGTCGAATCACTGAAACATGAAAACACTCCAGGTTCACAGTCTGCACAGAGTGGACGTACAGGTACAGCGCGGGACAATGAGACTCTTCAAGAGACACAAAAATACAAGATCTAAGTTCAAAAATATATACCTTTACATTTTGTCATTTATATTTGAAACGGTGCCCTGACTTCATAAAGCAGCAGATAATATTAACATGAAGAATACTATCCTCTTAAGTTCTGTGGGTGGTGGGAACACACACACACACACACACACACACACACACACACCATCAAGAACATGTCTGGTTCACATTACAGATTCCAAAGAAAGAAAGAAATGCTTATTTTCATTAAAAATAAGATTTCTTGTATTTTTTTAGAGACAATGATTTATTTTCACTATGAAAAAAAACATTTATAATGTTACAAACAATTCCTCAAATAATCCTAAAGAAAGAAGTAAAACTAAGCTGTTTCAACGATAATAACCAGAAATGTAACTTGAGCACCAAATCAGCATATTAAAAATGATCATGACACTGAAGACTAGATTAATGATGCTGAAAATTCAGCTTGGACCTCAGGAATAAATTACATTTTAAAAGATATTTAAGTAGAAAACCGTTCTTATATATTGCAATAATATGTCACAATTTTTACCTTACTTTTAATCCAATAAACGCAGCCTGGCTAAGCAGAAGAGACCCCAAACTATAGTCTATTTATTTTTCATTATATAGAATTCATGTTGGAATTAGCACTGCTTTTAATTTAGAAATAGCCTTGAATATAATAAAGTCTTTCTGGTCTTAAAACAGGCTTCTTTTTGTGACCTGGACATGTTCTTGACAGATTTCTCTCTCTCACACACACACACACACACACACACACACACACACACACACTGGCTGATATGACAGCTCTAATCTCTCCATGGCTGAAAGAAATGAAAGGATCTAATTAGAGCGAGTGTGTTCCCGGCGCGTGCGGCTCTGCTGTCACGGACTGAACTCAAATCACAGTGTGAATCGGTGCAGCTTTGTTTCACATCATTATTGCACACCACATCTGATTGTTGCACTGGGCAGATTTTCCAGGAAACGGGGATGGGAAAGAGAACTGCGATAAATCAACACACACATTCAAAGACCCCATGACATTCAAATAGAGAGTTTTGTGGCATCATATATGCTAGTGCACTCTTAAAAGCTGACAAAATCAACTTTTAGAAGATGTATACAAATACAAAAATAAAAATTTAGCTTGATATGTAACTTAACTGGGCAACAGACCAATGGCATGTAAACTACACTCTTAGAAGAAAAGGTTCTATCAGCGCTACGTATTTGGAACCCCTAAAAGGTTCTATACAGAACCCTATTTCAGAGTTCAATAATAAGAACACTTTAGATTCTTTGTAAGCAGGAAAAAGGTTCTAAATGGAACCTTTTGGGTTCATATTATCATTTGATTTTGTCCTTTCTGGATTAAATATTTCATATAATTGACAAACATCGAGACAAAAATGTATTTGTGAATGCATGTGAATACTCACAAAATTTTAAATATGGGGGTTAGGAAATGTATATATTTATATCATTTTATGTAGTTAATCAATATCACACGAAGAGGGCCGTTTCAGTTTTTCTCCTCCAAAAATCAGCATGATTAAAATAAGGTACTAAAACAGTTTAATAAACAATAATTTAATTACAACTACAAAATGTTACAGAATAATGTAATATATGAATGAATAATAGCCCATTCTTGTCATTATAAAACCTTTTTAGCATAAAAGTTTCTTTGGAGTTGAGTAAAGAACCATATGCTTCATATATAGAACCCTTTTTTCCAAGAGTGTATAAGGTATATTGGTTATTTAAAAAAAAAATGAAAGAAAGAAAACTGCTTTCATGAGGTCTTTAAGTGTCCCATTTGAGATGAACATCTCTCACACACACACACACACACACACACACACACACACACACGCACACACACACACACACACACACAGACAACAATGAATCCACCAGAGATACTAGAGCAGATAAAAGCATTAATGACTGGAGGTCACATTTATTAAACGGATCATGTTTACTCTCTCTCTACTCTGTAGTTTAGTATAGTCGATACACCAATACTTCATTTTTAAACACTTGTGCCTCTACACATCTTAATACACTTATTGCAACGACAGAGGCCTTGGAAAGGGGTTCGAGGGGGTGTTGGATTTGCTACCTGACACAGAAGGGAAGCCACGGGTAGATGTGTGTCCTTTATACAAATGCGACATTTAAATGGAGAGCCGACTTGTTTTAAGCAGGAAACGTTTCACTATCCATTTCGTGACTTTTTTGTGTGTGTGTGTGCCAACTGGCTTTAGTCTGTTTCCACACAGAATCGGTCGCGAGGAGTCCGATCGATCGAGATGTCCGTTCACAGAGCGTCCGCTTTCAGAACCGTCCAATCACAGGCTTATTCTATTCCAGACTGTCCAATCCAATTCATCAAATCCATCCGAGTCTCTGCTGGCCCCGCCTTCCCCGTCTCTGGCCGATATAAACTGTACGTCAGCCAGAGGTGATACAGTAGCTGCGAACGCAACAACACCGGCTGCATCAGTAATGCACTTCAATATGTGCAATTTCTTCTTTTTTGAAAAAAAAAAACAACAAAAAAACATTTATAGACAAAATATATTGCATATTTGAACAAGTGAATCTCATAAATAATGTCAAAAAACATCGGGGTCAAATTTCACCCTGAAATAAAAAATAAGAAATCATATTTTGCATGAAAATAAGGGAAATTATACAATTTTAGTACCGTTACAGGAGTTTACTTTAAAAAAAAAAAAAAAAACATTTGCTGATAATTTACGAAAAGAATTACGAAATTACGAAAATAAATTAAGGTTTTTGATGAAAACATTCCAGGGTGTATAACGGACTTCAATGGGAACCAAACGGTTCAAGGTCCAAAAGTTTCAGTGCAAACTGCAAACTGTTGAAAGGGCTTTAAACGATTCCAGACGATGAAGAAGGGTCTTATCAAGCGAAACGATCGCTCATTTAATAAATAAATAAATAAATAATAAAGTTTAAGTTTTATAAGCTCAAATGGTCACCTTGCTCTGTCCAGTGATGACTCTCCTGTTCGAACTCGTTCATCAAAATGAACAAATCTTTTCCTGAGTCAACTCGTTTATTTCGTTCGTTGAATGAACCAAATGACACGAAAAAAGATTTGTTCATTTTGATGAACGAGTTCGAACAGGAGAGTCATCGCAGGACAGAGCAAGGCGACCATTTGAGCTTATAAAACTTAAACTTAGTTTTTTTTTTTAATGAATTTTTTGATAAGACCCTTATTCATCATCTGGAATCGTTTAAACCCTTTGAACAGTTTGTAGTTGGCACTGAAACTGTCTTTTGGACCTTGAACCGTTTGGACCCCATTGAAGTCCATTATATGGAGAATAATGCTGGAATGTTTTCATCAAAAACCTTAATTTCTTTTTGACTGAAGAAAGAAAGACATGGACATCTTGGATGACATGGGGGTGAGTAAATTATCAGCAATTTTTTTTTTTTAAAGTGAACAACTCCTTTAAGATTTGCATTGTGATGCTGTATTTTGACACAATTCTTTTGTACTGAATTCATAAACTAAAACTGTTAATTGAAATATAATGGCAATTCACATACTAAAATAACAAAACTGTGCAATGCAAAAATAAATACAGGTTAGATATTCTTTATGCAAAATATAATTTCTTTTGATTCGGGGATTAAATGTGACCCTAACATCTCTGAGTACATCTCTTATTGCATATATGAGCATATATAAACATTACAGCTTTTCAGTGATTTACAATCAAGCATTCAGGAGTGAGCAAACAGCATTTCAGGTGCACACTTACAGGACTCTGTATTGCTTGCGAAAGCATGTCAGGTAACACACTGCGCAGGGTGTGACACAAAGTGGCAAATGAAGTTTATGCTGAGGATGCGTGACAGAAAATCTCCCTATGCCAGTTGCTTAGCAACCTTCCCTTCTAGATTTACTCACATGATGCTCAGGATAAATCTCGGAATTATCTCTCGATTAAAATCCAGCATAATTAACATTGGCTAAAAATACATATGTATCACACAGAGTTTAGAGGATGCAGATGAATGACTCGGGTGACGTGAGTTGGTTGTCTGGAAATAATGAATGATGAAATATTTTAGATCAGACCATGTATTACATTACTTATGACTACGAATGTGTCTGCAAGCATGAATAGAAATACATGACTCATTGATGCATTTACAGTTCACTAAAGTCAACATGGAATCAGATTTAATAAACACATACTTTCAAAAGTTTGGGCTCATTAAGACTTTTTAAATAATTTTGAAAGAAGCCTCTTTTGATTTTTAATAAAAAATACAGTAAAAATGGTGAAATATTATTACAATCTATATTGAATATATTATATTCCTGTGATCAAAGCTGAATTTTCAGCATCATTACTCCAGTCTTCAGTGTCACATGATCCTTCAGAAATCATGTTGATATGCAGATTTGTTCAATTATAATCAATTTAATCATCATATTAGAATGATTTCTGAAGGGTCATGTGACACTGAAGACTGGAGTAATGATGCTGGAGTGGAAATTCGGCTTTGATCAGAGGAATAAATGACATCTTACAATATATTCACAGTTATTTTACATACCATTTTTTCCTGTATTTTTAAATCAAATAAATGCAACCTCACTGGGCATAAGAGACTTCTTTCAAAAACATTATAAATCATACTGACCCCTTCAGAACCCCTTAGGTACTTTTCACCATCCAAATGTAGTATAAACCACATTTCATGTTGACTTTGAATGCTTTCCTTTAATCCTATCAACATCTGACTGCGATTTGAACAAGTTAGGCCAATTAGAGTCATTCTCTCTCCCCAGTGACATCATCATCATCATCACCACACAGCACGAGAGCGTCTGTTACCTGTGAGTCTCGTCTGGGCCGTTCGCTCCCTTTTAAGACAGAACGTTCCCCTCTGTTCGGCCGAACCCCGTGAACACAAGCTCTGTGCAGTTATCTGTGTGTACAACCAGTGTAATGATGCCGGTTCAGTACGTGCCAAGAGAGGTCATGCATGAGACGGCTCACGGATTCTCCACTGCTTCAATCAGATCAACAACACACACACACACACGTCTCCAGAGCAGTCCATGCACACACCAACAACAGCTCCAAACATGAACATTTATACTGACAAACAGACAATTAAATCCAAACAGACAGTGAGGTCGTGCTTTTCTAAGCTCATTCTGCTCTTGCTTTTGGATGTATCAGTGTGTAAACCTGATGTTTCACATGCTCTATCCCTGAACACATGTTTTGCAATTTAATGCAAGATCAAATCAAATGCATGAAGCTCACGAAAGCCAATGAAGCCAGTTTAAGATCATTTCCATTGTGACATTTTCATATATTGTCATATATTCAAAAGTATCTTATACATATTTATATAATTTAAATTGTAAAGTATGCATCATGGTAGTATTTAAAAAAAAATCTGATTACTGTTAAACAATATATATTTAAAATTTAAATTTTGAAACAATTATGCACCATAGTAGATATTTTTGTGATTTAATAACTTACTAATTTATGTTAATTAAACAAATACAAAAAAAAAAACACTATTTTTTATACTATTATACAAGAATGATTGTGATTAAGGTCCACTTTATATTAAGTGGCTTTAAGTACTATGCACTTACAGTAAAATTAATAATTTGATACAATGGACTTATTGTGTAGCCTACATACGTTTTTACATTGTACTTATATTTTAAAAATACCTGCACGTATTAACAGCTGTAATTATAATTACACAGTTTGTTATATGTATGCTTGTGTTTTTGGTTCAGTCTTGACTTTACCACTTGATTATGTTCCTTTATTCAACCTTGTATTTATACCATGTGTTCTCCCTCATTCTTTGTCCGCTGTGGTTTATGTATAGTGTGGTTTTTGTGTCTCCTGAGATTTTGTTTATTAAACTCCTGGTATTTCTTGTCTCCTTGTGCTTCTCACAACCACGAACCGTAACACAGTTGACCCTTCCCTTACACCTTAACCCACCCTTATACCGACCCATACCACACACACACCGGTCCCTAACCTTACCCATATCACACCTCAATAGCAGCAAACGTGATTTACAATACAACATAAACACAATAAGCTTTAAGGCTTTGATGATTTGAGGGGAAAATTTGTTTAACTGAAATGTCACAATGCAAAAAAAAAAACACCTTAAAATAGGCTTCATTTTTTTACTAAGCAATAAATTATATTCTATTATGATTTTGTGAGATTCACCCAAAAATTTATTTTTTTTACTTTCTCATATCACTCATACAGTTCTATAAATAATAATCATTATATTCACAGAGTATACTGTATAGTGGGCGGAGTCTCATGTGTGAGTAGGCGTGGCCTCAGAAGATGGACGGGATAGGGGAACGGTGAATCGGACAGGGCGAGGTCACTGGAGAGAGATGGAGAGCGGTGCCGGCTATGCTGTTTAAGCTTCGGGATTTCTCAAAGCCTTCAGACGTGAGAGAACGCAACATTAAGAGCACAAAGACACACACACACACACCACAAATATAAAAGTGACGGGCATGCGCACACAAATAAGACCACATCACATTTACTATGTCCAGCCATCAGAATGATGCCATTTTCACACACTGAAACGTCTAGAACACTTATTTTCATTTTTCATTTTGATCGCTGAACATGTTTCGTGTGCAATCATGTGCTCAGTAATTGTAAGAAACCGAATGGTTAAATAATACATAAATAGCGCATTATAATTTTCTAAACAAATTACTATGATACCGATTTTCTCAAAGTTGAATAAAACACAGTTTAATTATGATGATAATGATGGTGATAATGATGAGGAGGAAGATGAGGATGATGAAATTCAACACACACAAAAATTCAAAGCCAGTCTGGATGGAAATGCCAACTAAAACTGTACAAAAGTTGCCAAAAAGCTCACAAAGCAAATATACAGAATGCGTCTATTTCTGCCATTCATGGACGGAGTTTCATCAGAGATCAGCAGTTCAGTATGAGAACGCAACATTAAGAGCACAAAGACACACACAACAACAAAAAAAAGTGTCTCGTGGGACACGGTTACAGACGGGCGTGAGATATGCACACACAAATAAGCAATAATATATATATATATATATATAGGGAGCAGTGTCCAGTAACAGTCCTGACCATATACGTAATTCTAGAATGTTGTTTACACATCATGAAACGATGATCAATGCAAGTAAATGATATTGGTTAGTACGTACAGTGTCATGTATATCTGATTGTAATAGTACATTATAAATGGAAGACTCTTGTCCTGATGACCAAGATAAAATATTCAATAAAATAAAACAATAATATAAACATTGGCCCTGTAATATTTCACTACAGCGTGTAGAGTGACTTGTCATGCACAGCCAGAAAGCAACAATGAGCTTGTTTACATGCAAACCAAAATGCTGATAACTCACAAAAATCTGCTTATTGAAATAACCTATATAGAAAAACCAATAATCCATAATCGAAATGTAATCTGACTGAGTATTTCACATGTTATGTTTGTTGTGATAAATAAAGCATTAAAAAGCGACTCTTAATCTTACAGACTCATATATTATCCTCTCACGCAGTTTCAGATGCTGCATTTTGACTGTGACACTTCTGCACGAGATGAAAATAAATTTTTTATCATTTCTGGGGTCAAGAAAGAGTCAGAGTTTGCAATATACCTCCTCCTCCTCATACAGCGAAACGCTCGCTCTGTCTGGATGCAGATTATAAGTTCGCCGTAAGGTTGCTTTCCTGTCACGCATCACACACATCACTAAGCCGAAGTTTACATCAGGGTGAGGGCCGAAAATCTAAATCGGACTTTATTCCAATAAAGGAAAACGGGTTAAGGTGATTACATGAGTACTGTCGGCTTATTAAGGGTGTAAGGATGTGCATGTAAACAGACTCAATAAGTCTGTTTAGCTGGTGCTAACCTTCTACTGCCCTTTAGCACAGGGAGTGTTGAGGGGACGCCAGGCTTGACCTTACAAACTCGGCCCCCGGGTGCCTTTGCCCTTGAGCTGGTCCACATTCAACCTCCCAGCAGGGTTATTAGCCTAGCATTTGTGTCTGTCAAACAGTTCAGCCATGTGGTCTTGGGTGCCAACTCAACATCTGCCTTGTTATAGGGTCATATAGTTAAGTATTCATGCAAAATGCAAAAGCAATGCACAGAGCCAGCCAAATAATGATGCATCGGTAGGACCGGACGGCAAAACAAATAGACCTTTTGGGCTCTACAATAACAGGTTTCCATGCTTGAATGTTAAAAACAATTTTTTTTCTCATATTCTCCATTGTTGCGGCTCCTCTCTTCCCAGTCTGTCAGTAACGCTCTGTTTAGTTCCTGTCTCTATGAAGCCCCTCCTTCTAAAAAGCACACTGTGCTCTGATTGGTCAGCTGGATCAGTGTGTTGTGATTGGTCGAGCGCTTCAAAGTGTGTTTGGGAAATGTCCCGCCCCCCATACCATAACTGCCAGTTTCAACACACTACTAACTAAGTCGACCAGGCCCCGCCCCTTTATTCTGCGTATGAATTATTTAAATGCAGGAATATTGTGACGTGTTTGTTCCCGGAAGAAACTCAAGACTACAATGGAGGCGTTTCAGAAACACTGACACTGATATAGAGAATAACTCCCACTGGAGGGACTTTTCAGGCTTAAACAGCAACATTACACACTAAAGAGAGTTAAACATGTAAAAAAAGCATCATAGCACCTCTTTAAGCAAGCAAGCAAGCAGACTCACATCAAGCATCTGCAGTACACACTTCCGAACAGTTAAAGTTCTTCATTTCCATCCGTGAGTCAATGTTTATGACAATGGATTGACAGATATATGGGATTTGAAATGGGTTTGAAGTTTAGGAAATGTGATTGGACGTATATGCTAATATGAAGAATGGAAGGCTGTGATTGGACGAGCAGAAATACCTGTTTTTCGAATAGCTGTATCCGCTGTGCAGGTGTAGTCGCTGGCGGCCAATAGGAAGCACGTGCCTTCAGTGTGACGGTCCTGTTCGCGCATGCTGGAGTGACGCATGGGTATCCGCTCCTCTGAAGACATGGTGATGTCACTTCCTGCGCTGCAGTCCGCAGACAACACTGGTGGGAAATGAAGAGCACGAGCGGTGAAAAACAACATCTGCTTATTTGGGACACGGAACAGCTAGAGACAGAGGTGAGAGGTCAATCACAAGACGAAAATAGGACCGAAATTGGGTTGAACGAATGAGTCATCAGAAGCTGTGTGTGGGTCAGGGTTTATCTACACCGTGGGCATCCAAAACATGAAATTGCCTTGAAAAAAGATCCAAAATAATGTCTTAATGAAAATGTAACAATTCAGACAGACATCTGTGAGAGAGGAGAGAAAATATCATTTACTCGTAATAAAAGCAGCAGAGAAAATAACCGCTATATGAAAGATCTCATAATATTAACAACATAATTGCACAACCATTTCATTAACTTTCAAGACTTTTTTGTATTTGTATGATGCATCATTGACTAACTAATATGTGATATCCATCGGTTCATATCAGTCCATTTGCCATAAATAAAATGAGAATTTAACGTGCATTTTTGCACTTCTCAATCGATCATGAACTACGGAGCCCCTAAAGGGACATGATGGTGAGAAAAATATGAGGTGGGAGGGAAAAATATATATTTCTCTGCTTTCCCTCGAAAAAATGTTGTTTTCGTCCCCAAAGTTTTGTGGACGAACGCTAAAGATTCTTGGGGAACGCAAACTTTTGCAAGAGAACGCAAAAGCATTGAAATATACATTTTTTATAGCATTTATTAATATATTGAATTAGCTTTTTTTGTGTTGTGCTTTTGTCATTTTTACTTTCTTTGGTCATTTATTTACTACTTCACTTTAAACCTATTTTATTTCAGCTCGTGGCCACAGCAGCATTTTTTTTGCTTTTCTAATAATTATTTCAGATTTTATTTACTTTATTTAGTTCTATATTTATTTTATTTCAATTAACGCACACTCAATTTTAATAGTTTTATTTTAGTTTTAGTTAATAATAACAAAACTGATCAGGAAAACATAATGATGACTTTTCCCCCCAACTTGAAAAGTAATATATAGTCTGTATATACTGAAAAAAAAAAATTAATTCGGGTTCACTTGACCCAGATCAGATGCATTTCTACTACATATGTGTTATTTGCTCAAAAACAGCTGGACATCTAATTTAAGGTTCGACTTTTCCCACTGTTAAATCCCGTGAAAACCATCGAACAGCAAAAGCACATCACATGTAAATGACCAACATGCACAGCATCCTAGAATCTGACCAACTGCAGTTTTGTCTCTACATTCAGACTGAAATATCGCAGCCCATCTTCAGGCTCCTGAATGCATCTCCGTGGCAACAGGACAGTTCTGCACCCTCTCTTACGCTCCGCTCTGCAAGGAATACTGGATCTCAAACGTCATCCGCTTTAAGAAAAACACACCTGACTCAGTGGAATAGATTCTCAGTGCCCAGATACTAACTCTTACTTTACAGTATAGTTGAGCGAAAATGAAAACTTCCTCATGTCGTTCACTTCAGACCCTCCTTCCCACTTGTTTTCAATTCAAAAACAATGATGTCATTGATGTTTCATGCCATTTGGTTATTATGGCCCTGTTTGCGTTTTGGTCGATGGGATCACAAGTAGACGAGGGAGACGGTCCCATTTACACCTGGTGTTTTAATCCATTTCTTTTGTCCACTTTCATCCACTTCTATCCTGTTTTCTTCGAGTGGAGGGTAAGTGTATGGGCTTTTTCAAATCTTTCAATCTAATGGACAAAATAAGCTTGAACAATTGACATGTTTTCATCTATCTCTGGAAGTGGTCGAAAGTGGACAAGCTCAAAACGTTTTAGACCCCGTTTACACCTGTATTTAGCGTCACCCACTTGTGATCCGATCCAAAAATGCATTTTAATACCGGGTGTAAACAGGGCATTTGTGGCATATGACTGTAATCAATCACACTGTCGTGCAACATTCAATAAAATTAACACTGTAAAAAAAGTTTTACAAAAATACAATTTCAGTCTATCTACTTCAAATTTCACATTTAATTCAATGTGCTTTTTCTTTGTAATTCTTGATAAATAATTTGTGATTTTATTTATTTATTTATTTATTTCTCAGTGAATTAGCTTTTCATCAACTTACAAACCCCCTGCGGTTTAATTGCCGATCCACATTTGAAAACCCTGTTCTACAGAGTACATCCAGAAAGTGACACTCCACCTTTACATGTGTTATAGACCCTCTGAAGTGCATTGAAACAAAAAGACAGGGTGGGACATATCGATCAGCTCCTTCCCTTTTTAAAAATAGCCAATATAGTTTCGTTTATATAAGCTGTTACGCTCGGTAAAGTCACATATCAAAGCGTTTCTCCTCCTAATCTCCATATCACCTATAATGTAAGGGAGGGGGGCGGAGCTTCATATTCTAGAGAGCATTTGATTGGACAGAAAATCTAATGAGAAGCTGAACGTTATTTTTAATATGATGACCAAGAGATTATTTGTTAACGCTTTCAAAAGTTTCAAAATATAGGAAAACTCAGTTATTTAAAAAAAAAAATTTTCTTTTAATAAAAAGGAACGTTCTGGCATTTCTTTCTTTTTATTGTATTGGAAACGTACCGAATAGTGACACCACTGTGTCGTACTATCGAACCAAACCATGAATTTTGGAAAATTGTTAATAATGTCAATATACCGAACGATTTGTTGTGACAAATCGCAGAGACCTCAGCTGAAGTGATGTCATCAAAATCATTGATCCATATCATAAGTGAGAGACTGTGAGTTTTGAATGCTTGCATCTTCTAAATGCGAAATTCGTCATTGTTTTGGACCCCAATGGCTTAAAGATGACAGTAAGACTAACATATTCATACTACAAGACAAAAGCCTTAAATCACAGCATGTGTTGAACAGGCTCTCACCTGAGCGGTGGCGCTCTAGTCCTCTGCCCTGCCCGAGGCACAGCTCTCCCTGCGTGCTGTTGCATGCTGTACTCAGATCAGTTTTGCAGTAAGACGGCGAGCCAGTCTGCACAACCTGAGGGATGTGTTTCTTTCTCTTCTTAGGTAGCTTCTGTTTGGCCATGGCTAGCGAGTAGTACATGCCAAAGTTATTGACGATGACGGGCACCGGCATGGCTATCGTGAGCACGCCAGCGAGGGCACACAGCGCGCCCACGACCATGCCAGACCACGTCTGAGGGTACATGTCTCCATAACCTAAAGTGGTCATAGTGACCACGGCCCACCAAAAGCCAATGGGGATGTTCTTGAACATAGTGTGGTGGCTGGCCGTAGGGTCGTTCGGACTGGCCCCGATCCGCTCGGCGTAGTAGATCATGGTGGCGAAGATGAGCACGCCCAACGCCAGGAAGATGATGAGGAGCAGGAACTCGTTCGTGCTCGCGCGGAGAGTGTGTCCCAGTACGCGGAGGCCCACGAAGTGGCGCGTCAGCTTGAAGATCCGCAAGATCCGCACGAAACGCACCACCCGCAAGAAGCCCAAAACATCTTTGGCCGCTTTGGAGGAAAGTCCGCTCAATCCCACCTCCAAGTAAAACGGCAAAATGGCCACGAAGTCTATGATGTTGAGGACGCTCTTGACGAACTCGAGCTTATCAGGACTGAACGTCACGCGCACCAGGAACTCGAAGGTGAACCAGAGGACGCAAACTCCCTCCACGTAGGTGAGCGCCGGATCCGTCTCGATCTCGTACTCCAGACTGTCGTTGCGAGACACGTCCGTCTTGTTGATGATGGTGTTGAAGGCCTCGTGGGTCTCCAGGCAGAAGGTTGTGATGGAAACCAGAATGAAGAACAAGGAGGCGAACGCAATGAACTGGGAAGAGAAAGAGAGAGAGACAGAGAAGTGAGTGCAGTTTCAAACAACGCCACTATATTTACAAGGTCAGCTCTTGTTTCGCTTGAATGCCGCTGACATCCATTAGAAACTATTGGTAGGCTGTGAGCTTTTGGTCTTCATACTGTTATTCAATGTCTAGCAGTCCTTGTTTTTTTATTCGTTGAGTCTTAAAAATGCTGTGTTTTCAAGGACACAGTGAAGGGAAGGAATAAAAATTACACACACACAGATATATATATATATATATATATTGATTTGGAATTAGAACAGTATTCATTTGGAAAAACAACTAGTGATTTTTTTTTTTTCACAAAATTACTACAATAAATAATATTTATTTTCTTCCAGGCTTAAAAACTGGTTAAAAATAAACTAAAAAAATATTGTTGATTTAACTTAAAAAATTAAGTAACCTGTTGCCTTAAAATTTTAAAGTTGATTGAACTGGAAAAAGTGGGTTAATGCAATGAAGGAGATTGATTTAATCATGAGAAACTCAAAATAATAAGTTATCTCAACTAAATAAATTATTTAAGTTGATTTGACAAAAGAAAAAATCTTGTGATAACAAATCTTGAGAATATTTGTTTTACAGTGTACTCATTTCTAATTATTATAAGAGTTGTATATGATATGTATGTATTATTATTTTTATTGAAGTAGTTAATCATGTAAATTTTATTGTGTAAAAAACCCCTTCCAGGGACAGGAGTTGAAAATTAGCAATAGCTATAAACTTTACATGCAACTCTTCAGTGACATGCTTGGTCTTGACACTATGTTTGTTTGCATTGTCCTTGTCAAATAAATAAATAAATACAAATATTATTACATCATTTTGAATAGATTCATGAGCCACCCAAACGAACAGACTCATTCTCGTGAATCGGTTCATAGGATGGCCTATTTCCCAAAGCTTCATATGAGGGAGAGCCGCAACTTTTTGGGAAGGCCCATTTATTTACAGTATCGTCTCGGATTTATGGCTTGTCTGTGGTACAGCAGGATTGAACGTGACATAAATAGCATTGCACTTTTAGTGAGTTTCTCTCCACCACCGTTGTCACGATAATGTGAGGCACAACAAAGCAAAACACTCTTCCAGTATCTTGGCCGGTCATCAGCGTGTAATATTTAATGTCAATAAAAGCCGTCAAATGAGTGAGTCAGACTTTATAGCAGCTGCGTTCAGCCCACACAACAGCACTCCCGTCCCGTCTGTCAACACATCACCTTAATGTCCACACAATTATTTAGAAAGCACACAAACGTACCTCAATATTACTCAATTACTGCACTCGTATCTCACCTCATGAGCCTCTGATGTGCGACTGCTAGAATAACAGATCAGCACAGACCTGAGAAATCTCCAGTCAAAGCATCGCTAAAGGCAGACGCCAGCTCTGCCGAATGTGAAAAGACATCAGCCTGTCCCCTCTGGATAGCGTCTCAAAGGGGCCTGTCTCTCGCTTTTACTCTTGCTTTGTTTTAGCGTCCTAATGAGGCTTTAGCTCGTCTGGAGGGCTATAATCACTGCAAAGCCAGCAGAAATGATCAGGACCAAAGCATTATGGGATCCGACAATGAAAACAACCTCCGAACGCACTATAATAGGGTCTTTGTTGGTCTACTGCACGTGCGGTACACTTGTAAGCAGTATCTAATGATCTTGTCATCCACCGAAGGCTTAAGAAGTCTAATGTGGGGTTTGGCAGTGAACGCAGCTGGCAGGGATCTGTGTGGGGTTTCACATCCACACTAACCTCGCTTTATACCCCGTGACTTCATTAGCCAAGCAAGCAGCCTAAAGCTTAGCTATACTTCTCATGTGTGCACTTATAGGCTACGTTCAGACTGCGGGAAAATGTGGCCCAAATCAGTTGTTTTTTTTTTCTCATGGCACAAACCACTTCAATATGTAGTCCTAAATCAGATGTTTTGCAATGCAACCATGAGACCTTTACGTCACATGCGCTCGTGGGAGTCACTTCAAAGATTTTACATAGCAGAAATTATTAAAGGGTTAGTCCACCCAAAAATGAAAATTAAGTCATTAATTACTCACCCCCATGCTGTTCCAACCCCGTAAGACCTTCGTTCATCTTCGGAACACAAATAAAGATATTTTTGATTGAATCTGAGAGCTGGATCAGTCCTATATAGACTGCCTAAGGGACTGGCGCTTGACGGCCCATAATATCATTAAAGAAAAGGTTTAAATATTCCATGTGCCTACAGCGGCTCAATTATAAGTTTATCAAGCGACGAGACTACTTTTTGTGCGGAAAAAATATAAATAACGACTTTATTCCACTATTCCATTACTTCCTTATTGGCGCATGCGCGAGAACTGAGACGAGGACGTTCTCATTCGTCTACTTCTTGTTACCGGCTGCTCACCGCTTAGGAGTTTTACCGCCCCCTACCGTATAAGATGATGTGCTGATATAGCTGGAAACGCAAAACTTTCTGTTTACAAGCAGAGGAAGATGCGCGCTGTACATACGCTTTTCAATTTGCGTATTTTCTGCACTATAAGGTGCACTTAAAAGCCTTTAATCTTCTCAAAAAACGACAGTGTTCCTTATAATCCGGAGCGCCTTATATATGGATCATCATTTTATACGGTAGGGGGCGGTAAAACTCCTGAGCGGTGAGCAGCCGGTAACAAGAAATAGACGAATGAGAACGTCCTCGTCTCAGTTCTCACGCATGCGCCCATAAGGAAGTAATGGAATAGTGGAATTAAGTCGTTATTTATGTTTTTTTCGCACAAAAAGTAGTCTCGTCGCTTGATAAACTTATAATTGAGCCGCTGTAGACACATGGAATATTTAAACCTTTTCTTTAATGACTTTATGGGCCGTCAAGAGCCAGTCCCTTAGGCAGTCTATATAGGACTGATCCAGCTCTCAGATTCAATCAAAAATATCTTTATTTGTGTTCCGAAGATGAACGAAGGTCTTACGGGGTTGGTACAGCATGGGGGTGAGTAAATAATGACTAATTTTCATTTTTGGGTGAACTAACCCTTTAAGAGAGTCAGTGGAAAGGAAATTATGTGTCAGAACTTGTAAGTGTTAGTGACAGCTCTATATACAAGAAATATACAAGATGCACTCTTTTTGCATCCTCATCTTTGTTTGTAATATTGGCTGCGCATTCATTTGCTGGGTTCTGCGGCAGATCACACTGTAAATAAATGCACAATCGCTTACTTTAATGTCATCCGTGTTTACTTCCATAAATGACGTCTTATCGCAGTTTGAACACAGCCTTATAGGGCTTCATTTGCTCTGATTCTAAACCCTATAATGAGCTGCTCAACTAGGCTGCATTTTTATGCACCTGACTAATAAAATGTCTCTGCAATTTCTATGGAGACAGATTTGTGCCTCAGTCTAAAAAAAGCAAAAGGTATGTGAGACGTAACATTTTAAATATGAAATAGGGACATTATGAGATAAAGTCACAAATCATATGCATGCATTTATTACAAAAAAGACAAAAATAAAAAAATAAATATATATATTAATGTTTTCTTTGTAATGCATTCATGCATATAATTTAGGAGTGCATGCATGTATACATGCAATATATAAAAATATTGCAATAAATAATATTTTACATAAATTAATGTATGAATTAACTACATGCATATATGCACACACACATATTGTATGTACTACTTGCATATGCATTTATACACCCCAAAATGTATATATATATATACACTCACCGGCCACTTTATTAGGTACACCTGTCCAAGTGCCCAAATTTCTAAGCAGCCAATCACATGGCGGCAACTCAGTGCATTTAGGCATGTAGACATGGTCAAGACAATCTCCTGCAGTTCAAACCGAGCATCAGTATGGGGAAGAAAGGTGATTTGAGTGACTTTGAACGTGGCATGATTGTTGGTGCCAGAAGGGCTGGTCTGAGTATTTCAGAAACTGCTAATCTACTGGGATTTTCACGCACAACCATCTCTAGGGTTTACAGAGAATGGTCCGAAAAAGAAAAAACATCCAGTGAGCGGCAGTTCTGTGGGCGGAAATGCCTTGTTGATGCCAGAGGTCAGAGGAGAATGGCCAGACTGGTTCGAGCTGATAGAAGGGCAACAGTGACTCAAATAACCACCCGTTACAACCAAGGTGGGCAGAAGAGCATCTCTGAACGCACAGTACGTCGAACTTTGAGGCAGATGGGCTACAGCAGCAGAAGTCCACACCGGGTGCCACTCCTTTCAGCTAAGAACAGGAAACTGAGGCTACAATTTGCACAAGCTCATCGAAATTGGACAATAGAAGATTGGAAAAACGTTGCCTGGTCTGATGAGTCTCGATTTCTGCTGCGACATTCGGATGGTAGGGTCAGAATTTGGCGTCTACAACATGAAAGCATGGATCCATCCTGCCTTGTATCAACGGTTCAGGCTGGTGGTGGTGGTGTCATGGTGTGGGGAATATTTTCTTGGCACTCTTTGGGCCCCTTGGTACCAATTGAGCATCGTTGCAACGCCACAGCCTACCTGAGTATTGTTGCTGACCATGTCCATCCCTTTATGACCACAATGTACCCAACTTCTGATGGCTACTTTCAGCAGGATAATGCGCCATGTCATAAAGCTGGAATCATCTCAGACTGGTTTCTTGAACATGACAATGAGTTCGCTGTACTCAAATGGCCTCCACAGTCACCAGATCTCAATCCAATAGAGCATCTTTGGGATGTGGTGGAACGGGAGATTCGCATCATGGATGTGCAGCCGACAAATCTGCGGCAACTGTGTGATGCCATCATGTCAATATGGACCAAACTCCCTGAGGAATGCTTCCAGCACCTTGTTGAATCTATGCCACGAAGAATTGAGGCAGTTCTGAAGGCAAAAGGGGGTCCAACCCGTTACTAACATGGGGTACCTAATAAAGTGGCCGGTGAGTGTATATATATGAAGAGTTCAGATGCAAAAGCCT